CTCGGCAATAGTGGACATTTTTTTGAAAACTTATCTTCTGTTGAGTTGTGAGAGTTGAAAGTGACCGGTGGTAGGGTGATGTAACTTTATCACAGTTTAACCATTAAGGGGAGTTAAACCCACAATGTGTGTATTTAAATACACAAAAATAGTAAAAACTGTAAACCAGGAAACTGTAAATTACTTAAAATATCAATAAAAAATTATTTTGTTACTTAGAACAATGTGCATTTTATTTCACGCCTACCGCCAAAACAATTTTTTTTTATATAATGGAAAGACGGTAACGGAACCTGCTGAAATGGTGTCTATTATAAATAACTATTCCATTAACGCAACAAATCAGAAAAACTATAAAATAGAAAATATAATGAAGTGAAAGTACCTCAATCTATTTTTTGACTCCCATAAATGAAAATACTATCAAAAAATAATAATGTCTTTAAATAACACAAAACCTGAGGGTTATGATTCCTATGTACTAAAATAATTAAATATTGTAGGAATGAAATAAGTGAAATATTAGCATTCCTGATTAATCTCTCACTAGAGTTAGGGGTTTTCCTGAAAAACTAAAATTTACTATAGTAAAACCGTTACACAAGAAAGATAAAAGTGATATAACCAACTATCGACCAGTTGCACTAGTCCCAGTCCTCTCAAAAATATTCGAAAAGGTTATGCATTACCAACTTATCATCTTTTTTGGTAAATTTAATGTAATAAAACAAAATCAACATGGTTTCCAAAAAATAAATCCACAGCACATGCTGCATTCACATTAGTAAAGGAAGTATTGCAAAATGTAAATGAAAGAAACTATACAACAGTACTATTTCTTGACATGTCTAAAGCCTTCGATCGCGTCTCACATGATCAACTACTGACCAAACTAGAGGCTAATGGAATAAGTGGTGGACCTGCTCTAAGTTGGATAGAAAGCTATTTAAAAAATAGGGCACAGTGTGTAGAAATAACACAGTTAAATTCTAAAAACATAGCTCAGGTGTATAGATCTGTAGCCGTGGAAGGAAAAGGGGAGATCTCCCGCCGGGCAAGGTGTTCTGCCCGGGGAGCGGCCAACGCTCCATGTGATAGTTCGGAGATGTTCTATATATATGCTGTTTATGATTCGGAATGTTGATAGCGTGATTTAAGCTTCGGTGTGTTTCGCTTGCGACGCGACGACAGCGCCGCCACATCACCCCCCTGCTCAGACCGGAGGTCGATAGTGCAGTCCGATTGCCGCTTAATGCCGGTGGGGAATGCATGCTGTGTGCGTAAGGGCAAGTGACACCGGTGCGAATGTAATGCCGATGTGTAATGCATGCCGTACTACGCACTGGCAAGTGATGCCGGTGAGAACGATGTGCCGGAGCAAGTGCCAGAACAAATCTGCGGTGAGTCGAGATAAAGACAAGTTGGACTGGCTTTCAGGAACTGAAGACTGCAGAAGACGATTCTCAATAGTGAATGGTGGGAGTTCTTGAGGATAATATCGAAGGCTTGAAGTTGTAGTTTCTGAAGGTTGTTGGTTGCGTGTTCAGATCACGTCGGATGGTCACCACTGTGGCCGTGGTAGGAAAAGGGGAGATCCCGCCGGGCAAGGTGTTCTGCCCGGGGAGTGGCCAACGCTCCGTGTGATAGTTCGGAGATATTCTATATAATATGCTGTTTATGATTCGGAATGTTGATAGCGTGATTTAAGCTTCGGTGTGTTTCGCTTACGACGCGACGACAGCGCCGCCACAGATCCGAATTCAAAAATAATAACTTTGGTGTTCCCCAAGGTAGTGTACTCGGACCATTGTTGTTTATTTTATACATAAATGATTTGCGTGACAACTCAAACTATAAAACTACTTTATTTGTAGATGACATATCGATGACGATAACGACTAGGAAAATAAATCACTATATCAACATGAAACACAATGGCACAACATGAAACTCAACGTGAATACAATTAATTCAGTAAATAAATGGCTTAATAAAAATAATCTACTCATTAATTTAAGTAAAACAAATATCATTAATTTTAATAACTTAAGCTCTGACATATTAATAATGAATATAAAAAAAGTAAAGTTTATATGTCAGAGCTTAAGTCATTGAATATAATGGACAACTTTTGCAGAACGCTACTAGTACGTCATTTCTAGGTTTAATTATAGACTCGAACCTAAATTGGAAAGAACATAATATATATAAAGTGTGTAACAAAATTAACAGATTAGTGTACGCGTTACATAAATTGACAAAAATAGCAAACAAAGATACAGCGGTCACATCGTATTTCGCATATGTAGAATCTGTTATCAGATATGGACTTTTAATGTGGGGTAATGGCATACACTCTCCAAAAGTATTTTTAGCACAAAAGCGCTGTATTAGAGCTATTAATAACATTTCATCGGATACGTCATGCAAGCCTTACTTTAAGAGTTTAAACATACTTCCTTTTCCCTGTTACTATATATTTGAGGTTGACAAATTTGTAATGTCAAACAAGCACATATCCTTACAAACTAAAGATGCAATAAAAATAAATTTACGGAACCCACATAAACTAGTAGGTACTTGACACTATTCCAAAAAGTGAGCCCTTTCAAAAAAATAGCTATGCAATGTGTAACACGTTATATAAAATAACACCCTCACATATTAAGCAATTACCATATAATAAGTTTAAAATGTCACTTCGACGATGGCTGGTAGATAAAGCATTTTATACAGTCAATGAGTATTTGAATTGTAGTGACTAAGTAGTTTTATCGTTAATTAAAAATCGATGCATTAATTAATATATATATATATATATATATATATATATATATATATATATATATATATATATATATATATATATATATATATATACCATATATTTATAGATTGTAAAATGACGTTTTAGTTTGTTTATATAGATGAAATTTAGTAATTGATTGTATTATAAAAACTTTTGAATGTGTGCATGCTGTTGAAAACAGCTAAATAGGTTTTCTTAACAAAATAGCAGTGACAACATCAAGAAGTAAAGTACCTATTTAGTAGCAAATAAAGAATTTGAATTTGAATTTGAAGTTGTAAAATGTTGCTGCACCATGGGAGAGAATAGTCATTGAAGAGCGGATTCATTTCTGGAAAGTGAAAATGATACCAAATATTCCATGGTTGTGATGGATGGAGCCAATAGTCTTCGCCATTCCAAATCAACAAGCTTCATCATTTGCAGATAAACAAGTTCATAAAGTCTTCTGTCGTTTTGGAGTACCTTTGAAGATTCACATCGATCAAGAATGGAATTTTGAGTCCCAAATATTCCAAGAAACTTTCTCAGTTATGAGTACTCATAAAACAAGAACAACCTCTTACCACCTGCACTGTGATGGAATGTTAGAATGATTTAATCAGACATTGGAGACGTACCTAGCAAAGGATGTGTAAAATCGGCAACGAGATTGGGACAAGCACATACAAACGTTTTTGTTGTCATATCGAAGCGCTGTTCACGAAAGTACATCAGTGACACCAGCCTTTGCAAACTTTCGAAGAAAATTACGGCTGATTCCAGACCTGATCACCAGGATAACACCTGATTATTATATACGCAGTATAACCGATTATGCAAATGACTTACGGAACAAAATGAATGACATTTATGAGCACGTCAGACAATAGGACCAGCAAATGTCCGAAAAGATGAAAACCCGGTATGACCGCAAAATGAACAACAAAGGGTTCGACGAAGGTTCGCTAGTGTGGTTGCACAATCCAGTCCGCAGCAAAGGAAAATCTCCTAAGCTTCAGGATAAATAGAACGGACCGTACCGGATTGTGACAGCGATCAATGACGTAACCTACCGGACACAGAAAGGTGCAAGAGGTACTCCTAAGATCGTACATGTGAATCGACTGACGCGTTATTATGGGGCCGATAATGGTCGGGATGAGCATGTCTTAGGAGGGAGCAGTGTTGCGCGCCATAGTCAAAGCAACTAGCGCCATCTAGTATCGAGTAGCTGATTATAATATATTATTATTATTATTATTATATGTTTTCGGTAGAATAAGTCCGATATAAGACTGATATACAGCGACGCGGGTCAGTATTGATTTGGCAATACAAGCGAATACTAACTGCGAACTAAAGTGATCAGTACACATTTAAATAATACTAGTTTTTACGGATTATATCGCGTTCATTTAACTTTTTGACCCTTGGTCACGGAGGACTGAGATGTTCAATGTCCAAATGTCATAGTAAACCGCGGTTACCTTAGATTAAATGTAGATCGGAACAAAAGAACAAAAGTTAAACTTCAAATATACACTAATCAGTTTTTTATTTTCAGAACCCACTCCAAATAATCCACATCATCTCGAAAAAGGATCAAAGAAGAGGAGATGTGTAGGATGCTACGAAAAACTTCGCACCTTCTAATCAAGTCGTGAGGCTGACAAAAAAGCAAAGAAAATTCTCACAGAATTTATCGGTTGCAAAAATATTATTGTTTGACCTGTTTTAATAGAAAGCATCCATAAGTACAATTAAATAAAATCGATATTTTTCCCATCACCAAAAATATGAAAAACTACCCTTTTTCAGTACGGTATGGAGTACATAAGACCCCACATTTTATTTTACCTATAGAATCTAAACTAAATAATCTGCCCACAGGTGGCGGCAGATTCAGGTTAATCAACTTATTGATATTAAAAATAGCGACAAAAACCGTACAATTCGCCTTATTTTACGCCAAAAAAAGATTTTTTGTCTCCTGTGGGCGGTGGGGCTTACTAAGCCTCGTGCCACTACAACCTCTGGTTCAGAACAAGGTTTCAAACGTCTCGTAATGCAGTAATGGAAAGTACAGATAAATCAGTGCCGCTGGGAACGTGTTAATAAAAAGTTTATACGTATTTCTTTACTTTAAAAGTTTATTCACATTTTTAACATTTCTTCCAATATTATCAGTTACTATAATTGTTTTTAAACATCAAACCACTTGAGAAATGGGTTTCGCACCCACTATCATCCATGCTGTGCCGCTTTCTGCAGTTTCAAAAACATCCACCGCCGCTTCACCAACCGAATCAGCCTCTTGCCAAAGTTGCTGTTCAGTAAACTTTAAAAAATCTTCCTGTACTTCAGGAACCCGTGTCTTCATATCAATGACAAGACTTGTTTTTGTGAAACCAGGGCAAATAGCTATCACTCTAACACCAAATCTTGCAAAGTTATAACTATGTCCTAATGATTTTGTAAAAGCCATGACAGCTGATTTTGATGCTTGATACACTGGCATGTATTGGTCGAATTGAAATCCATAAATTGATGATAAATTGATTATTGTACCTCCTTTGCCGGATTTGTCAGTCCTCATATGTTCCCAAAACTTAAAAGACCAGTCTAATAATGCGATAACATTAATTTCCATTGTTTTTCTTACGTTAAAATCGTTAAGTATTCCCGCATTATTAACCAAAACGTCAATGGTCTTAAAATTGCTAATTATTTTTTCGTATACCGCATCCAAATCTTTTGTGATGTCGCATGTATAAAATACTGCTCTTTTATCACCATATTTAGTAACTAGCGTTTTAACTGCTTCAGCGACTTTTTCCTCATCAATATCTAGAAGAATAACCACTTTGGCTTCTTTATTCAAAAACTTGTCTGCGATTGCATATCCAAGGCCCGTTGCGCCGCCGGTAATAACGATTGTTTTATTTCGTAGATTTTTTGCCATGTTCTTGGTTGTAATCAGAAACTAAGGAGCTTGAGACTAACAACATAACATAATTTTATGAGCTTAAATACTGCTTCATTCTTTTATCGTAAGGAAATACACCTGTTGTATACTAGTTTTGATAATTCGCTTATCTCAAAACGTTATTAAGCTGCTTTAATATATTTACTTATCTATTTTTTATCAACATTATACTGTTATTACAGTTATTCTATATATAACAGGCATACCATTTATATATATATATATATATATATATATGTGTGTGTGTGTGTGTATGTATGTATATAAAGTAGGACTGATTTTATCGCGTTTAATTAACTTCATTACATCATAATTTTCTGTTCAGTTACCCATGGTTCTGTTGTCGTTTACCATCCTGAATATGTGATGTTGGATAAGACGCGAAAATACTGCATAAAAATGAAAACTCGGTCGCCCTGCGGTCGAAATTTAACTGTAATTTAGGTTTATATAAACGTTTATTTTTATTAAGATAACCTACACCTTACATATTCATATACAAAACATAGCATTCTAATCAACAAAATATAAAATAATCGCTAATTTGCCCATTATTGAAAATGGAACATTTGAAATCACATCCCCACTCCTCTTTCTGTTTGACCTCAGACTGTTAAGAATTTGACATTGGCTTTAGAGCATTAACATATCTAAGCTTGTATTTACTTTAAGTTATTGACAGAATGAGTTGTAAAAAACAACATAATATATCAAATTTGTCCAAACATAAATTATTTGTTTGACATTCGCATTATGACATAAATATTGCATTCTATTTAATAAAATGTATTTTGACACTTCTTATTAAAAATACTTTATTAAGAACAATCAAAACTAAAAATTTAAATTGTCATAAAGTCCTACTCCCTTTTATATCATGTCAAGAACGCCGGCTGCATTTCATCGCCAAATAGCTTATACTTATTTTTTGAACAAGAAAAGAACCAGCCCTCTTATCAGCAGTAACGACCATTCGTGGATACAGTTCCTTTAGAAACTTCACTGCACGTGGACCCCACGGACCGATAGTCCCACATAGCAAATGTCACAATATGTAGTCATTTCTCAAAGACTCATATTTGCGCGCCTTACTTAATTAAGCTGCCTCTGACACCGCCTCGCCTCAAAATGAGGTACCCTTAAGATGAGAGGCCGCCAAAGTATCCACACAAGTAACATTCCACACTAGGACTTTCTCTCTCTCAAGGGAACAAAGGTATAACATCGGGTCTCCTGCCACTGTCTCTTAATTTCCCGAAAAGCTCTAAAACCGAAGGAACGCTTATAAAGACAAAAACCTTACGGATGATTTCACAGAACAAAGAACCGACCTACCTGCACTTTTCCTACATGAAAGTCCATGGAGCCCAAACTCATCGACGCTGCTACCATAGGGGCACTGGTGAGGTTGACAAATTGCCGCAACTACATGAATTCCTATGGCGATGCGCAAGCTTTTCCCATAATGCAATATGCCGAGATTACCTGATGGTACAGCGTGTAACCAGTGACTATATTCCTTAGTCAAAACAGCTAGAAGGCGAGCTTGATCTTGGTCACTGTGAAAATTTTGAAATAAATCTTTCTGCACTCTCCGTACCAACTGAATGTTCCACTTAATGATTTCTTAAATTTACGCGAACACTACACATTGAATAAAACTATTATTTACGGATTTTATCGCGTTTAATTACTTTAATTTATTTTTATTATTATCGCTATTTTTATTATATTCGCTAATACCATCATATGCCAAACCACCGAAGTTGTATGGGTTACCGAAGATACACAAACCAAACGCTCCACTACGTCCCATAGTGAGCCAGATCGATTCACCAACTTATAAGCTGGCACAATACTTAGCAAAAATACTATCACCACTAAGAGGACATACCAGAGCACACACAAAGGATTCATACCATTTTGTGAGTGAGATAAAGGACCTACATCTCGCTAACAATGAAACTATGGTCAGTTTTGATGTTCAGTCACTATTTACATGCCTACCTATTGTGGACTGCATCTCAATTGTAACTAGGAAGCTAGAAGAAAATAACATGCCTCAAGAATATGCAATACTACTTGAACATTGCCTCACATCTGGCTATCTATTGTGGAAGGAGGAGTTCTACAAGCAAGTAGATGGTGTGGCGATGGGCTCACCTGTGTCTCCCATAGTCGCCGACATATTCATGGAGGACTTTGAGGAGAAAGCCCTTGTTACTGCTCCTGTAAATCCAAGGTTCTACAAGCGGTACGTAGACGACACTTTCACAATTTTACCATCTGACAAAGTAACTGCATTTTTAGACCACCTTAACTCCATAAACTCTAAAATACAATTCACAATGGAGTTAGAGGCAAATAATTCTTTAGCTTTCCTAGATGTTTTAGTCATCCGAAATCCTGATAACACTATTGGTCACACAGTATATAGGAAAAAGACCCATACCAACCGATATTTAAATGGTGAATCTCACCATCATCCTTCACAGTTAGCTACCGTGGGTAAATCTTTGTTTCAGAGAGCACGAGGGATCTGTGACAGAAAACATCTGGCCGCGGAGCTTCAGCACGTCAAGCAAGTATTGCAAGACAACAAGCTTCGGGTCCCGCGCCTACGTCACAGTGAACGAGTGAAGCCGGCCACAGTCGAGCGCGCGCCTGCTCTACTACCATATGTTAGAGGAGTCACGGACAAGATTGGCTACATCTTGAAGCGAGCGTCCATTAAGTCATACTACAAGCCGCTGAAGAAGATTAGTCAATTTTTACCATCCATCAAATGTAATATTCCTCTACAAGATGCAGGTGTGTACAAGCTAGATTGTGAATGTGGTCTCTCTTACATAGGTCAAACAAAGAGATCTATAAAAACCCGCGTGAAGGAACATATAGCTGATGTGAAGCACCGACGCTCCGGGAAGTCTGCAGTCTGCGAACATGTTCAAGATCGTCCCCACCATTACATTAGATTTGATAAACCACAAATTCTCGCAAAAGAACACCGATTCCTACCAAGGATGATACGCGAGGCTATTGAAATTAAAAAAACATCCAAATTTCAATAGAGAAGATGGTTGGGTGCTACCATCTGCCTGGGATCCTATAATTAACAAAATTAAACTCAAACCCAAGCATACCACTGCAAGATTTCATGATACTATAAGCTCGTTTTGCGTAAATCGGACCAAAAATTAATATTAAAAAACTAAAGGTAGCCGGACTAACTATGACATTGGGACGTCAAACATCTCAGTCCCCCCCCGTGACCATGGGCACTGTAAAGCACCCGAAACGTCGGGGTAATAATAAAAATAAATTAAAGTAATTAAACGCGATAAAATCCGTAAATAATAGTTTTATTCAATGAATGTTCCACTGTTTTTGTTGGTTAACTTTCTGTGGGACATTTTCGCCGGAACAGAGCATTAGTCACGTTATCCTTGTCTCCGAAGCACATGTCTACTTTACCACATAAAATTATGTTACATAAGTCATTCACACTATGCACGGAAGCAAAGAAAGTGGGCAACGCAACGCTAAAAATATTTTTACACCAATACCACCATATTTTATAGGTAAAATAGCTTCATTCCAGGCTGTTGTATTTAAAGTCAAATTTAGAATTTTTTCTAAAGCTAGTTTTTGGATGTTAAAACTGTTAATCTATGCGACTTTTACAGCTTCATCTGACTTACCAAAGCTATTTAATGATTATTATCAATATCTTTTAAAATATATGAGCATTTTCTAAAGCTACATAATAAGATACAATACAATTAAAAAGGCTTAAGATATACAATTTATCAACGAGTTACGTTTGCGGTAGCTTAGGGAGGGTTGAAGTGTAAGGAGACGAAGATTTTTCATATTTGGGGGCACGGTAGTGTCCCCGCCAAGTTGAGAAAAAAGCGATACGGCCGTACCATACTTTTCTCGAAGCAATTCAGGCCATTTTCGACCCCCTATAACTTCGTTGAGAATAAAACTAGAAGCCTGAGTTTTCAGTAGCCGAGTCGGCATTGTATAAACATGGAAGATTTCAAATTTCATTTGTTTGTGTTCAATATTGTATTTCAAATTTGTGTTGTATTTCAAATTTGAATGTGTAATTAAATTAAATTAAATGTGTAATTCTTAAATTATAACTAGTCAAAGTTTCTTAATTTTGCCACTCACTGACTGACGGATCATCAAAACTCTAAGGCACTTCTAGCAGACATAGAAGCTTCAAATCGAACTGTTAGTTTCATACATGATTCGGGCTTGCAGGAGCTATATTATGGTTGTAGCACGAATGGGTCAGTTTGACCGAGGAAGGACCACTCTCTCACAGAATACCAGTGTAAAACAGAAGCTTAATACTTAATAAGTACTGTGTTGTATTTCGTATGGTGAGTATAGAGATCCGGAGATCCTTCTTTTCCGTAAACGAGGCATTCCGTCTTAGTCCTCAGGGGTTAAAACGCATCTGCATTTTGATTCTTAATCGGGGATAAATGTAGACTTCTATGAGCCTCAGTATCCATTTCCCATCAGGTGCACTGTTTGCTCATTTGTCACCCTTATTCTATAAAAAAATTGCAATATTTGAATACGTACATATATAGTACTACCTCATAATACTTATACGGTTTTATAACCAGTTTATTGTAGATGCATTTACCAATAAATGAATATGAATAAATGTATTCCTTATCTAGAATGACGCAATATCAGAAAAATTATAATCTTTATTGCTATCATTAATTTGCTTTAATCTGTTAAAAAAGACCGATACTTGTGTCGAAAATCTTTGTTGTGACAAAATTAAATAAAAAACAATTTATCTCATGTGTAATTTAATACAAAAACGTCTTAATTTTCAAAAAAATAAAACTAATCAATAAATGATTTGAATATCAACTAAAGTAAGGCACAGATAGAAATTTAAAAATCCATTAAACAAAACTTTTAGATGGATTAAAAAACAA